GGCCTTTATTCGGAGCAGACTCTGCTCTAATGTGGGTTTTGGAAACGGATTCACAGTCCCACACAGCAGAGCCCCTCTAGAGTACCCGGATCTCCGCAGCCCATCAACCCCGTCCCTCCCTCAGGATTCCCTCAGGATCCCCCATGTCCATCTCTCAGGGTTCCCTCAGGATTCCCAATGTCCATCTCTCAGGGTTCCCTCAGGATTCCCTCAGGATCCCCCATGTCCATCTCTCAGGATTCCCTCAGGATTCCCAATGTCCATCCCTCATAATTCCCTCAGGATTCCCAATGTCCATCTCTCAGGATTCCCTCAGGATTCTCAATATCCATCCCTCAGGACTCCCCATGTCCATCCCTCAGGATTCCCTCAGGATTCCCTCAGGATTCCCTCAGGATTCCCTCAGGATTCCCTCAGCTTTGTGGTTTGTGCAGCCTCAGGCCCAAAACCCAAAAACCCCCGGGATAAAGCGCAGAGGGGGACGCTCAGAGCCGGGGGAAGAGTGAAAATTCGGGAAGCCGGAGGGAGAAGCCCCGGGCAGGGGCAGAAGCCCCGGGCAGGGGCAGAAACCCCGGGAAGGAAGAGAGAAACCCCGGGAAGGAGGGGCAGAAGCTCCAGGAAGGAGGAGAGAAACCCCGGGCAGGGACAGAAGCTCCAGGAAGGGGGAGAAACCCTGGGAAGGAGGGGCAGAAGCCCCAGGAAGGAGGAGAGAAGCCCCGGGCAGGGGCAGAAGCTCCAGGAAGGAGGAGAGAAACCCCGGGCAGGGGCAGAAGCTCCAGGAAGGGGCAGAAGCTCCAGGAAGGAGAGGAGAAGCCCCAGGCAGGGACAAAAGCCCCAGGCAGAGGGAGAAGCCCTGGGCAGGGAGAGAAGCTCCAGGAAGGAGGAGAGAAGCCCCGAGAAGGAGGGGAGAAGCCCCGGGCAGGGGCAGAAGCCCCGGGAAGGAGGAGAGAAGCCCCAGGCAGAGGGAGAAGCCCCGGGCAGGGGCAGAAGCCCTGGGCAGGGGGAGAAGCCCCAGGAAGGAGGAGAGAAGCCCCGAGAAGGAGGGGAGAAGCCCTGGGCAGGGGCAGAAGCCCCAGGAAAGGGGAGAAACCCTGGGAAGGAGGGGCAGAAGCT